GAGAGGGCGTTGAGTGCCGCCTCAGAACACAGGCCTTCTCTGAACACCCACTCTGCTGGACAGCACCGGCTCGGGATTCCTTTAGAATTTCAGAACATGGTTTACAAAAATATAGTGCAGGGCAGGGTTGTAACTGAACTTCCCCATATTTTCTTCTGGGTCCTTTACCATAGTTTTCCTGCCACTATTTATAGGTGTGAACCATTTGGAAGTTGACCTCCAATGTCAGGTGTCTCCTGGTACTCAAGTTATGTCAACACCAATTACTAGGATGTCTACGGCAGTCCGAGTTTTACTCTGAACCTAGACCTTTGATGCAGACTCCTGAGAAGGAAGCAAGGCCCAATCTTAGAGGAGACCAAGCCTTTCTCATGCTTGGCATTTAATACGGAGGCATCATAAAGAAGATAAAAGCGCAGATCTCTTATTATTTGGTATACAGATTGCTGTAAATATTGTTTCCATCAAATTATACCATTTCATGAAAATATTCCCTCCTCACTTTGTTATCATCCCTCATGAGTGGCAGCTTATATAATGTTCATATCTGTGTTTTTAAGAAAAATAGGATGTGTGTGTATGTAGGAACTTGCCTCTTGCTACCAGCAAGTTAGATGCTATAAAAATTCAATTTTGAGATGATTTTAACATTATATTTTTGTTTTCATTGGAAAATTTTGTATTTCTCTTCTAATATTTTCAACAACCCTTTAGTTATTAGAAGCATATTGTCCGATTTCTGTGTTTGCACACTTTCCATTTTTTTTGCTGTTCATTTCTGGTTTTCTTATGTTTGGGTTAAAGAGAAATGGATGGGTTTTATGATTCTGAATGTTTTGAGGCTTGATTGGACCTAATATGTGCTCTCTCCTGGAGAATGTTCCGTGTGTTGAATAGACCTGTTGCGGTTTTTGGATATGTGTTCTTTAAGGGTTAACTCGCCTTCCCTTGCGGTATAGCTTTTAGTTCTGAGGTGTCCTTGTTTGGTCTTGCCCTGAGCGGTCCGTGGATGCTGGAGCCTGCAGGGAGGGCTTTCCGGGAGCCTGCTTCATGGAACTGGGCACTCACATATTGTTGGACTCTTGATGACTTGATCCTTTTTTTGGATGTAAGAGAACCTTCTCTCTTTTTACAGTTTTTGGCCTACTGTTTCTGACATAAATATGGTTACTCCTGCTAATTTTTGATTTGTGTCTTCCCAATCCCTTACATCCAGCCTCTGTCTTTGCTTGTGGAATGAGTTTCTTATTAGTATTTCTTATTATTCATATTATCCTGACTTAAGCAGCTAGTCTTTCCATTAGAAAATCTAATGCATTTACATTATTTATAACATTTTAAATCTCTTCTTTACTTTACTTTTATTTTATTTTTTAAAAAAGATTTATTTTTATTATTTTTTTATTGGAAAGGCGGATATACAGAGAGGAGAGACAGAGAGGAAGATCTTCCGTCCGATGATTCACTCCCCAAGTGAGCGCAACGGGCCGATACTATGCCGATCCGAAGCCAGGAGCCTCTTCCGGGTCTCCCACGCGGGTGCAGGGTCCCAAAGCTTTGGGCCGTCCTCGACTGCTTTCCCAGGCCACAGGCAGGGAGCTGGAAGGGAAGCGGGGCTGCCGGGATTAGAACCGGCGCCCATATGGGATCCCGGGCGTGCAAGGTGAGGACCTTTAACCACTTGCGCCACCGCGCCGGGCCCACTTTTATTTTATTTTAAAATTATGTTAGATGACATTTACATAGTCAATCAGGGTGGAAAGGGTCTAGGGTTAGGGAGAAGTGGGTATGATCATTGTTTCCAAACTTCCCATTTTTTTCTTTCCATTTCTGAGGGGGAGGGGAGAGATAAGGGGATAAGCCATCCCAGCCTCCCAACCATTCCAGTACCAGGGGATGGGGAACCCAGGGTCACGATGTGGTATATGCCCCAAGGGTTCTGCAAGCGTGGATGTAATAGCTCTGAAATGCTGCTAATCTCATCAAACCATGGATGAGGAATCCCTTCCAATGACAATTGGCTGACACAGTCAACCTTAGAGTCTCCATTCACCCACATATTTGTTTGGCTGGGGTAATTGTCCATATGTTCTGTACTCTATTCTTTGATATGGTACCAGATGTCCTCTGCAGGCCTCATGTGCACCATGATCTGCTGTCCAGCATTCCATCCTTTACACTGAGGAGGACCAGTTCTCATAAGTGGGCCCATGGACCCTTTACCAGTCAACCTGGACCAAGGCAGAACCCCCCAACTCTGGGGCTCATGGACCTGGCATTCACCAGTCACAGGTAGGCCCAGTGACCTGGGCCAGGAGACCCTCATCCCTGGGGCTTTGGACCCAGCACCCATCACACAGGCAGGTGCAAGGCCCCAGGCCATGGGACCCAGGAACTGCTGGACCCCCATCCCTGGGGTTTACAGCTCCCACCATAGAGGCAGGCCCAGTAACCTGGGCCAGGAGCCCCAGGCCTTCTGGATCCCTTACCTCTTAGGCTCAGGGATCTAGCAGCCATCATGCAGGTGACTCAAGGGCCCCTCTGTCCATAGGGCTCACAGACCCAGCACCCACCACTCCCAGACTGGCATGGCTCATTTCTGCTCAGCAGATGGTTTAGCCTGGTCTGATCCAACCTGCTCCCAGTCCCAGCTTGTGCTGGTTGGTGCTGCAGCCTAGCCTCGCCCAGTCAGCCCCCTATCCCGGCTCCAGTGTGAACTGCCTGGTGTTGTGGCCTGATCCAGCCCCTCCTGCACCCCATCCTGGTTCTTTGGTCTGCTAGTAGATATTACGAACTGGCCCGGCCTGCTCTACCCCCAGACCTGACCCAAAATAGCTACACACCTTGCATGACAACTGTCAATACAAGGTGTGCAACTTTCTTACTTAGAAAACACATTTATTTATTTGATTGGCAGAGTTAGAGGGGGAAAGACAGAGCAAGATTTTCTAGTTGTGGGTTTACTTTGTAAATGGCCACAGCAACAAGAGCTCAGCTGGTCTGAAGCCAAGAGCTAGAGGGTCTTTCCAGGGCTCCCGCAGGGGTTCAGGGACTCAAACACTTGGTCATCCTTGCCTCCTTTCCAAGGCACATAATCAGGGAACTGAGTCAGGACTGGGACAGCTGTAACATGGATAGTACTCGTATGGGATGCTGGCACTGCAGGTGGTGGATGAACCTACTATTCATCCTATTGTGCACATTGGCTCATCAAGCAGGGGCTCTTGAGGGCCTGTCCTGAGGGCTTCATGCTCTTTGGCCACCAGGACATGTGTGCTAGTGGAATTGTCAGCAGTGACATCAGGGCCATGGGCATCTCCAGCTCACAGCAGGTGAGTGCTCATGACACAAGGGCAATATGCTTAACATTCCCGATGCCAGAGCTGGCACTCCCAGGACTATGGGGAGGGAGGCGACAGGGGAAGCCATGAAAGCTCAAACCACAGTCTGTCTTTGGGCCATGTGACTTGTGGAGGTGGCCGAGGACCTACTTCTGCACCAAAGGACATGCACCAGAACCTGCAGTGTCCATGACATGCCAGCCTCTGTGCTTGAGGCCTCCTGGAGGGGAGACGGACACCCTGCCCCAAGGCTCGCAGGGCTTCTGGAGTGTTCCTGGAGATCAGTTGCTCAGGGATTCCACAGAGCCTACAGGTGAGTCAGAGGGCAGCATTAAGCATGCTAGCCAAGTTCATGACCACATGCCTGAAGGGTGTCATCTGATGGACCAGCAGGCATCCTGCTGAACAGCTGTGTTCAGACTGGTTTTTGCGGTGAGAGTTGAGTAGAGAGCATTCTGTGGAAGAGCCCCCCAAACTTCACAAGAGCCGCCTTGCTGAAGAGCAGATGAGACTCCCTAAGCTTCCCCAAGAAACAGGTTAGCACTAAATTAAGCATGCAAGATATTAGATATGTAACCATGGTTACTTCATGTCTTTCATTGCTCAAGCATAGGAGACCCTCTAAACAAAGCCACTGAAACACAGCCAGTATTTGCATGAGTAATACTGCTTGACGTCTAGTTTTTCCTCATTCCACAAGCACACCAACGCCATGTTGTAGTTGGATTCCTCAAGTCTACCGAGCCACCTTAACAGGGGACACCTGATGGACTCCCCCATCTACCCAGTGTCCTCCACAGCCCTTCTGTGTGCTAGCGTGCTCTCATGGGACTCAGCCATTCCCTCCAAGAGGTGGCTTGAATCCTAGGCCTGGAGTAAGACTGTCACAGACAATGTGTGCACACAGGCCTGACTGGCACGTGCCGGGTGGGTGGGGCATGAGAAGCACTGATGCTGGGAAATGCAGCAAGAACATGAGACCAGGGCTCTGAAGGGGTGCTTTCCAACACTGGGACTCATAGTCGCTGGCAGCCAGTGATGACCGTTAGTCCCAACGTGCAGAGACCCAAGCGGGAACAGCCCAAAGCAAATGCGAACTAGCACAATCAGACCAAAAGTTTCTTGCGAGAACTTCCAAACACAAGCTCAAATGTGCAGCATGTGACAAGTGTGGAAAAACATGTCTCAAAGCCATCTCAAGTGAGGTGCCAAAAGAGTTCATACTGCCTTCATCAACAGCCACGCACGTCAGTGGGCACCCACCACCAACAGCTGGATGCAGAAACTGGCCTAAAAAGATGTGGTATGTGGCAAAGACGCTGCAGGGTCAGCAGTGCAGTGTGTGAGAACCACAAAAGCCATGTTCCCTTAGGATGCCAAAAACAAGAAGTGAGGGCAGAGGAGGCAGACCAGGGCAGGAAGGACGATTGGACACGGGCCACAGCTGCCATGCACACACCAGCCCAGGCCTATGGTGCTGGGGCCACAGGCGAGCTGATCCCGGGAAGGGATGGGATGGGACGGGAAGGGATAGTAAGCTGGGGGCTGACAGTCACCATGGCCAGCAGCCGCAGGGCGGGGCTCCAGCGCTCACTCTCCACTTCCCCTTCTGCTGCTGGTGCGGGCCCCATTGGCGCATGCACGCACCCTCGCGGCAGTGGGCGGGGCTGCGGGACGCTCAGGGCAGAAGAGGCACTTCCTGTGCCCCCCACCCCACCAGGCCTTCTAGAACATTCCAGGCCAACGGAGGCGCCAGGCAGCCTGAGTGCGTGCGTCTTTCGGGTAGGCCTCTTGCCGTCCGTGTGGCTGAAGGCAGGTGGCACACAGAGAGTGGGTCCGAGGAGGGGGTCCGTGTGGGGGCGAGCGGCAGCTGGCTGAGGCTCTGGCTTGAGGCGGCAGCCACCGGCCACGGGGGGAAGGTTCCAGAAAGGAGGGGCGAGGGAGGCTGGCACCTGAGGGCCCGTGGTCAGGGCCTGAGGCGGCCGCTGTGGGCTTCTGCTGAGGACCCGATTCGCGGGTGACCAAGCCGTCCCTGCAGAGCCCCGTCCTCGGCGTGCCAGGCCCCTTTCCCTGCGGGAGTGCCCGCGCCTGGATCCCGTGCTGGCTTGGCCTGCCTGAGCCCTGGTCCCTGGGGTGGCAGCGCCCCTGCCCCCACACAGCCTGGGCCTCCTGGGCGCCATGCCCTTGGCGCCGTCCCGGGCCTGCACTGCTCACGGCCAGGCCCCGTGGTCAGTGGGTCGTGGGTCTGCTGAGCCCCTGCCTGCACCTGTTGCGGGCTGTGGGAACCACTGGCTGGGGCTTCCTCCTGGGTGAGCAAGAACGCCCACATTGTCGTGCTGCCCTCCTCCCTGGGCCTGCGCCTTGACTCTGACCCTTGCCAGCCAGCTTGACCTGCCTCCTCCCTCCTGGTCCCAAAGTCTCAGTGGGGAGTGGGCGGGTGAGGCGCCTGCTCTGTGCTCCTCACTTCCAAGGGACCAGAGGACACGCTGCTTGGGCCAGCCCAGGCAGGAAACGTTCTTGAGACTCATGGAGCCCTGGGCTGCAGGCGCCTCTCCTGACCCCTCTTCCTGCCTGGCCCCGGCTTGGGGCGTGCTTTCTCAGGATGCTGTGCCCTCCTCTCCGCTGCCCGGGCTACAAGGCGGCCCTCTTCTCATTTGGCGCCTGGGCCTCTGCAGGGCACCCAGTTCTGCTGGCCAAGCTGAAGGCCACCTTCCCTGCCGCCATGCCGAGCAGGCCTGGCCAGCCCCCCTGTGTCCTCCTGCTTGGCAGCCTGCAGGTTCCCGGGTTCTGGTCTCCTAGGTGGGACTTGGTCTACCTTCAGGCTGTTGTTTCTCACACGCTGCCGGGTGCCCACGGTTCTGTTCCCTCTGATTCCTCTGTGGAGCCGCTGAGCTTTCTGTTGGTTCTGCTGGCTCCTGGAAGATGTCGCCCGGGCTCCCAACCCGCTCACTGTCCCCCTCGCACGATCCAGTCACAGGTGTGCTGTGCCCCGCCGATCTCCTCTGTGCATCTCCTTCTCGGTTCCATTCCGTTCCTCCTGTTTGTCTAGTTCTCCGTAAGAGTTGTCTGAAGATTTCCCCCAAATCTGTCCTGTGTGTCCTGAGGTTGTCTTTGGCTCCGTTCATTAAGATGGAGAGAAAGATGGGGAGGCCAGAGGCAGGGGAGAGAGAAGAGAGAGAATGAGTGTGATTGTAACTTGGGGGCACTTAGTGCACTCCTCTGATACGCGGGACACGTGTGCCTGGGTGTGGCTGCGAGCAGCTCTCGGGAATTGCAGCTACTCCCCACGTGGACGGCGGCAGCGGGCCAAGTCTGCGGGCCGTGGTCACTGCCTTTCAGGATGCTGGTCAGCAGGTCGGGAAGTAGAGTGAGATTGGAATGCAGGCAGTTGGATACGGGACGTGGAGATGTCAACTGGTGTCTTGACGCAGTGGAATTGGTCACCTTCTGTTTTTCGTTTCAGAACGTTCATGTGATTCCTTTGATAAGTCCTGTTGAAAGCTTTTCCTTTGTGAAACCATAATTGTTCTGTCCTCTGTATGCTGTTCTCACAGCAGTCATGGAAAGGTTCCAGGAGACAGCTGGAACAGAATTCAGGCGTGAGACACACTGGCGGTGAGCAAGGCAGCAGGTGTGCGTCAGAGCAGGTGGGCACCTCTCCCGCCACGCGGAAGGGACATCACAGAGCACAGTGGAGAGGGCTCATGAGACAGCCGGGGCCACGAGCTGAGCTGAGCTGGGCTGAATCCCCGTGGGATGGAGCAGGTAGGTGCCCCAGGGGAGAGCTGAGCCCAGAGATGTGTAAGGATAAGGACGGCAGGGCCGGGAGGAGCCAGGACGCAGGCTTGAGCCAGGACGGACAAGTCAAGGCAAGAAATCCGGAGAGGTGGCCGGCTGCTGGCGTGCACACGGGGCAAACGCGTGCCCAAGGGCAAGATTCGGTTACGGGTGGGGTTTCTATAGCACGAGGCAGCTGAGGGCCGGGCGGGGAGGGCATTGCTGTGCAGCCTCTCGGGATAGATGTTGGAGGAAGTTGAGCTGGGTGAGGGGCAAGGCGTGGTGGGAGGCGGCTGAGGCGTCAGGAAGCAGGAGAGTGTGTGAGTGGGACAGAGGGCTGAGGTGAGCTTCCCGTCACGTGGCTGATGTGTGAAGATGGAGCAGAAGCGCATCTCAGTAGTGACCCCCCGCCAGCTGCCTGGTGAAGGGGGAACCTGAGGAGCAGTTGCCATAGAGGCCGCTCCCCTGGGGTGTGAGGAGTCCTGATGCTCCCTGGAGCTGGGGTCTGCAAGAGTGTCAGGTTGCAGGTGGAGCACAGGTCCCGCGGGTGGGAGGATGTGGGGCAGTGAACTCAGTGCACAGGAAAAGGGCAAGGAAGAAGGCGTGATGCACCCAGGGGCTTGACCGATCAGCGAGGCCCTAGCCTTGCAGTAGTCTGGGGCCGGCGAGCCGTGGTGAACGTCAGTGTTTCTCCCCTTGCCGCGTGGGTGTTATTCTGATCCGTGTGCTATTGACCGGTCCGTGACCCTTTCCCAGAGCTGGAAGGAGGAGGGGGGGCCTTGGCAGCCCTTGAGGAGCTGTGTGTAGAGACCCAGCAGGAAGAGCCCTGGAAGCTTTGTTTCAAGAATGTGCTGAAGAGAAGTTGACGTGCTGTGTGTACGAATTTGCGGAGGAGAGCTGGAGGGAGCGTGTGGCAGGTGTGGGACCAGCGACGGGCCTGAGGCTGGCAGCAGCACAGGAGTAAAGCAGCCTTCCTGGCAGCGGAGGCGTGCTGGGGGCAGTGTCTCACTCCAGTTGGAGTGGCTCGGGGGCACTGCTGCCACGGCCGTGGCCAGCTCAGGTAGGACTGTGATTGGGACTGCAAACAGTGCATTGCGCTAGGAACAGAAGCAGAAAGGACAAGGAGTGAAGTCAGAGATCCCTGGAGGCCAGCTCCGAAGATGAGGATGGGAAGGCAGACTGAGGGACTGGACTGCCTGTGCCTCTGGTGGGATTACTGGGAGGAGTCGGTGGGAGTCAGGAATGGTCTGAGGTGCGAAGGCTGCCGCTCTGGTGTGGTGGGGTGCTGCGCCCACCTGACGAGGTCGGTGGTGTGGGAGCAGACCTCGGCTAAGTCCTCTTTGTCTTGCTGGCGGCCTTGGCAGTGACTGAGAGTGGCTGCGCTTGGCAGCTGGGCAGCGACGGCAACAGCTATAGCCAGCTTGCCTTTTGTGGCAGGGGTCCCTCGGGCTGTGAGAAGACCCGTCTTGACCACAGTGGGCATCGGGGTGGACGGTGTTAGAGGCATGCTGACAGTCTGTGTGAGTGTGTATGATCTGTCCATTGGCTAAGATCAACGGTAACAGTTTGTTGGGAGGTTGTGTGTTGAGGCGGGGACCCAGCCTCAGGGACCCTCTAGGGATGTGGGGAAGAGGAGGCATTGTCACGGGAGCCCTCGGTGATTGCCAACCCAGCAGTAAAGGGGGCATTTGGAGGCACTGCCATCGATGTACCAAGCAGGGGCTTGGGCACATGAGTGTGCGTGAGGTGGTGACATGCAGTCATGGGAAGGGGGAAGTCAGGGCAGGAAGTCTTGGGCTGAGAGAGGCAGCAGTGGACAGTGCCTGTGGGCTGGAGGGGGGACATGAGGTACTTGGGCGCAAGATGGTGATGTAGACTGACAAGGCAGTAGCTGGGAAGCTCTTGCAGTCCGTGGGAGGGTCGTGTTGTGAGGACCGAGGGAAGGCGGCTTTCTGGGGCTCAGGTACGGGAGGATGCCATTCCCGGGATCCTTAGGCCCCGGGCCAGCCGTGCCGAACTCTGTCGAATTCCCTGGAGAAATAGGCCCCAGGGTGGGAGAGTCCCCTGCCTTTTGGACCAGAAACCGAGTTTTTGTGCCCGAGAGCCATGAGTGTAGATTAGGAGGGGGTTTCTGTGGGTTGAGCAGGTGTAGGGCCTTGGGAAAGCGCCTGCGTCAGAGTTTGGGAAGGGGATGGTGAGGGGGAGGTCTCCTGTGAGGGACGATCTGGTTTGCCTTTGGAACTTTGTATGGGGTTTTAGCATGAAGAGGGAAGTTTGGAATCTGGCCCAGGAAACAGAGGAGATGTGCTTTGCGGGTGGAGACAAAGGGAGTATAATGCGTGCTGGGGGCCATGGGAGTGGAGCAAGTGGGGGCGCAGGAGGTCTCAGGACGGTGACAGAAGTGGAAGCTATCACTTTCTCTGACTTAGCCCATAACCTTTCTCAGCTGGAAAGCTCCCAACACTAGTGGTATGTTGGAGACAGGTCCTTTGGGAGGGACTGCAGCATAGATAAGCACCAACATATTGAAGAAGTGTGCTGGGCGCAAGAATACTAGGGACTAGATCTGCCTGGAGGGCCTGCTCAAAGACGCGAGGCTGGCCTCTAAACTTTGGGGTCGCATGGACCCAGTGAGCTACTGTTATCGGGTGCAGCCAGTGATAGCCAGCACCCCTTGACAGTGGGCAAGTGAAATGTGGCTGTGTCCCCTACCCTCTGTCCTGAAGGTGGGTCCTAACAACAATGGAATGATAATTGCATGCTCAACAGCCCCCTTCCTAAATTAGCCAGGATATTGGATGCAGACAAGTCCAGCTAGTCTCGGCATTGTTAGCTACAAGCCCAGTTCCTGTTCCTGCACATCCCAAGGAGCACTAATCAACTCCTTAGCCCACAACACTTAGGTGAGACCTGTCAACTGAGAGGGGATGGTATTGCATTGTTGTGTAACCACACCCCTCACAAGCCCCTTTAAAAGGCCCATGAGGCAGGGGCTCTCTCTCTTTCTGGCCAGGTGCTTCCATTATTCTGGCACCTCGACTCTTGGCTGACCCAGCACAGGTACTGCCCTGAGCATGGTCCCTCTGTGCTGCTTAGAAGGGGCAATGGTTATAATAACGTTGTTTCTGGTTTGTGTGCCGTCAGGAGTTCCAGGAGAGACATGGCCTAGCAGTAGTAGAATGTGGGCAGAGGAGCCAGGGAAAGGTGAATGTCTGCGGCTTTGTAAGTGTGCCCAGGACTTTGTGAGTGTGTCCGGGTTATTCGTTGCACGTCTCTAAGGATAACTTATATTGTTGGGGAAGCTGGGACATAGGTTTTCAGCTTCGTGGATGGACTTAAGGATGTGATTCATTGGATTATGACTGGTTGGATTGCTGTATGGACTTGTGATTTGTTATTGTATTATCACCAAGCTTAGTTAATAAAGTCTCCTTAGTAAACCTTAAGTTTGATCTCGCTCGCACCTGCAACACTACTGAGCAAGGCGAGAATGAGGTTCAGACCGGATCGACAATGAGTGGCTGGGGAAATGGTGCAGAGGAATTGTGAAGGCATCCTTTAGGTTCTGGATGGGAACGGAGGAGCAGCAGGGAAGATCTGAGAGCAGAGCGCAGGGGTTAGGCACAGCTGTGCGTGGGGGACGGACAGAGGCATCCGTGTCAGAGGGCCTGTGCTTGGACCGCAAGCCCTGGGCACACAGCTGTGTGCAGAGTGCGGGAGAAGCGGTTTGTGTGGGGGAAAGAAACTGCACTTGGCGTGACGGAAGTGTGATGTTGCAGAGACAGCTCTTAGTACGGTCAGCTGTGCTCACATCTCACAATTGTGCAATTCAACAACAACAAAAAAATATATTTCCAAGTTGAAAAGATATTTTGATAATTCTTCCCCTCCACCTGCAGTATTCTCACGATGATTTTGAAAGCCCTCATTTACTAAGAAGGCCATGTGAGTAAACTGGCTTTCTTTGGGCCACTGTTCTGTGGCCCCGCAGTCCCCTCTTCCTGACCTTCCATGCCTTGTATCCATGGGCGTTCCTGACACCGCAGCCGTGTAGTGTGTAAGCTGGTGCATGGTTACTGCTCCTGAGATCTCCCCTTTGTCCTGGGGGGGACACGGGGAGCCTGCAGCCCTGGCACCAAGCTGCTGCTAACTTCTCACCTGCAGGTTCAGCTCCTGCAGGAAACCATGATCCTGCTTGCCCTACTGCTCGTCGTGGGGCTCCCTCTGGTGGAGAGCAATGGCACTGCCGTTAGTGAGCAACGTTGTAAGTGTAGGGGCTGGGACTTCACTGGAGTTGAACTGGACATTAGGAAAGGTGTGGTGGGGTTGGATCATCGGAGCCTACTGAGTGTGGACAGTGGTGTGTGAGGGCGATGGGGGTGGCCTCACTAGCAGAAGAGGGTCCAGTGGGTGGCTTGCTTTTCCCAAGAACCTGACGGGGTGGGGTTGGGGGTGTGGGCGTGGTACCTTCCCTTCAGGTCAGGCCACAGTGGCCGTGTCCAGTGCCGTCCCAGAGGACACTGGCCCATGGCAGCTTCCTGCCCTCCTGGGACAGGTGGCCTCACCTGCAGAATACAGTTCTCGCACCCATGGCTGCCATGTGGCACTTCCTCAATCCTGTCTCTGAGGGCAGAATACTTCAGTGCTGCCTGGCTTTGCTCATGGACCTGGTGATGGACAAAGGCTGTGCCAGGGCTGGGCCTGCAGTGGCTGTTCTGGGAGGAGGTGGAATTGGTTGGTAGTGGTGGGTCAAAGTCATGAAGGTGAGATCTCTAACGCCTCTTTCCTCCTCTCTCAGGGACCTATAATGTGACCTGTTCTGAATGTTGGAGCATCAATACATTCCACTGTCCTAGAAGGAAAACCTGCCTCTATGATATTAGGCGCTGCATGACACTGTCTGTGCGTGAGTACCTTTAATCGTGTCAACGTTGAGGCTAGGTCCTGAGCAGTTTTCAAGGCAGGGCCAGTCTGCTGTCTGTGTCCCTCACCATGATCTCTGTTGGCCCTGGCATCTTCCTGTCCTGAGAGCAAATTCCCAGGGACTAGGGTCTGCTTCATGATGGGCGATGTGTACTCTCCTGCACTGACGGGGATTGTGGCAGGTGGGAGGAGCTGTGTAAAGAACTGCCTCATGTCCAGGGCAAGGAGACTGGCTGGGCCACAGAGCCGCGGTCCTTGTCTGACTTGGTCATGTGGTAGACTCCAGTGGCACTTCTTGCCATATGGTCATGTGAGGAGTGCTTGTCACCAAGTGGGTGCAGGGGGGTATAGATGTTTTGGTCAGTGCCAAATATTTTTTTCCTCTGTTTTCAGCTCTTACTGTAAAATCATGTCGTGCACAATGGCCAGCCGTCTTAAGCCTGTGTTAACTTTTTCAGAGTGTGATGAACATAAACAGGTGGACCATATTTGGACAGAGTGAGCCAAAAAATGAAAAGTTTAGGTAGAGATTTTTAAAACTTTTTTCTTTGCCGTCTGCCCACAAATAGCAAGAAAGTGAGCGGCTACACTGAGTTCTCGGGCAGTGCAGCCTTGACATGTGTGACCAAAAACAGGATCCCCTTTTCCAGACAGCTTTATGGGGACTCCTTAGCAATGCAACATGGCACCACATCCCAGGTCTTGATGGCAATGCACTGAGGACAGCACATGGATGGACAAGAAAATTTTATACCTGTAGAGGAAGTTGACTTCCAGACTCATGGTCTAGACTCTACTTGTCTACCTAGACCCCCCATCCCCCCTCAGACATTTCCTGAAGGGTGCCGACACGTATCTTCTGTAGCTTCCTCTTCTTAGCTAGGGATGTAGACCCTGCTTACCCTGGGCTCAGAGATCTCTGTCTCATGCAGTAGAGCCATCTCACGAGCTGGAGAATTCTCGGCCACCGCCAATGTCTGTGTCCCCCAAATAGATCTACTGCCTCTGAGTAGTTGCTGGATTCTGAAACTGACAAGTTTATCCATTAGTATGAGCAAGATTGGGACAAAACAAATAGCAGTGCGGTACAAGGAAATATATCAGGCCTGGCACAGGTGCCTAGCAGCTAAAGTCCTTGCCTTGAATGCACCAGGATCCCATAAAGGCACTGGTTCTAATCTCGGAGACAACACTTTTCATCCAGCTCCCTGCTTGTGTCTTGGGAATGTAGTCAAAGATGGCCCAAAGCCTTGGGACCCCGAACCAAGGTGGGACACCCAGAAAAGGCTTCTGACTCCTGGCTTCAGATCGGCATAGCACCGGCCGTTGTGCTCACTTGGGGAATGAATCATTGGACGAAAGACCTTCGTCTCTGTATCTCCTCCTCTCTGTATATCTGACTTTCCAATAAAAATAAAATCAATCTCTTTTAACAAGAAAATATACCCCATTACTTCCCAAGTTTTGGGAGTTGCTGGATTGTGCCCGTGCAGATTGTAAACCCATCCCGCCCGAGCATAACGGTGTTCCGTATCCCTGTCCGTGAAGATGGAGGCGTTAGGGTGGAGGTTCTTCCTTGCTCTGTGAGAAAGCGGGCCTGCCGGCTAGCCGTAAATGCTTCAGCCCAGGCAGCCACATACTTGAGTGCTTGCTGTAAAAGCTGGCCTGAGCTATAAGCCAAGTTACCTAGAGAAATGAGGAGGTTTTTAAAATTTGCTTCATGCGCCATGTCATGACACTGTAATACTAAAGAAGAGGTGAGTGAGGATGCTTCCTGCCAAAAGCAGTTTTCAGAAAGAATCAGGAGAAGACGTGGATAATCCATGCCTGCCTTACAGATCAGCAGCCATGGTACTAAGAAAGAATGGGCTCTGCACATCCTCCTTTGAGCTCTTGGATTGGTTCACAGGAGCAGGCAGGTTCTTCCTGCACGTGCACCTAGGAAGGTTAAGCGGTAGAGTTTTAATTCTTGGCAGATGTCCAACGTGGGATGCCCTGTAATGTGCCTACAGTGTATGTGTTCAGCAGCACCTGTATGCTTCCTTCCACTTAGGCTGTGGCTGCTCTGAAGGACAGCCCTCCTACCAAGTCTTTAACAGAACCAAGTCTCCTGGGGAGCTGGCTGCTCATGGACGTTGGGATCTGGCACTGGGAGGATTTTATTACTGTATTCCACCAGAGCCTTGGGGCCCAGCCACATTAATAACACACTTCATGTGGCTTTGGTCAGAGGTGAGGAAGGGTTGCCCTGTTGTGGACTAGGCTTGAGGGAAGCCACAGGCACTATTCATTCTGAGAAGGGCAGTCGGCAATAGTTTAAGCCATGTATCTGAGCTCTCTTGACAATGCTTAGCTAGAGTTTTCTTGAGGCTATGGTTAGCCTTTTCAATTTTATCCAGTGACTGAAGTCTCCATGAGGTGAGGAGACGGTAAGAAATTCCTAGAGCTGTGGCTACCTGTTGAGTTATTTAGACACAAACGAGGGGCCTTGAAAGCCCACAGCGTGGCATTATCTCTTTTAGCAGGGCCTTGGGTGCTGCTTGTGCTTCTTCTACTTTAGTTGGGAATGCTTCCGTCCAACCTGTGAAAGTAGCAATAAACCCAGAAGACACTTGGAGGCATGGCAGCAAAATGAACCTGCTGGTCATCATCTGGACAAGTCCCACTCCTCTACACAGGAGTCAGCAAAGGTGCTGGCTGAGCATGACCAACAGGGCTGTTTTGTAGACAAAGGGGGCAAGAATGAGCTTCCTTTAGGACAGTATGTGATCCCTACCTGCAAATGCTCGCGAGACTACCTGTATTGAAGCTCCTCTTCCCAGGTAGGTGGAGCCATGCATTTCCTTAAGCGTTTCCCACTGAGAGGCCATTGCAATGTGACCTTATGACCTGAAGCCCACCATCCACTGGCACCTTTTGCGTCACCTCACCCTTGTGCACATTCAGCCTCTGACCGTGCACTGAGTGGCTCGGTTGTCTGTATAGACTGAGGAGTCACACTTCCTGTGCTGTGCCAGGGTATTTCCTTTCCTGCTATGACCCCACTCCTTCTGGTGTCCTTACAGCGAATGCCTGCTGCTTCCTCAGGCCCCAGCACCTCCTGCAGTGGGTTTGCCGTCTCCCTCCCATGCTGCCTGGGTTCTTAGCAGTCAGTAGGCCTCTTTCCACCTTGCTGCATGTGCATGGAACACAAAAAAAGCACATTTACAATCTGTATAGATATGAACTCACTGACCTCCTAACTGCAGGCTCTGTTTAAAGCAGCCAGTTCTGCCTTGTGAGCTGAAGTATCGCTCGGCAGTGCCTGAGTGTCCGGCACCTGGCTAAGGCCCACGAAGGTGTAGCCTGCCTGTCTGACTGCCTCTTTCACGTAACTGCTGCCATCCATAAACCATGCCACATCTAGATTCCCTAGAGGTCATCGTGCTGGTCAGCTCTGTAGGGTACATGTGGTATGTAGTTGCTACACAGGAAGGGGTAAACTCCTCAGTGCTGCCAGAAGGTTTAGGGAGGGGCTGCAGCATAGATAAGCACCAACATATTGAAGAAGTGTGCTGGGCCCAAGAATACTAGGGACTAGATCTGCCTGGAGGGCCTGCTCAAAGACGCGAGGCTGGCCCCTAAACTTTGGGGTCACACGGACTTGGGTAAGTTAAGTTAAGCTTAAGTTACTAGGCACACATGAAGAGTCATCTCAGGTGAGTCTAGCAATAGGGCTTGATATTTTGTGAGATGTTCCCTGTTAACCATTGATGCTCCTTAATTTCTAAAACTCCTTGTATTTGCTGTGGTGTTTGAACCTCAAGTGGCTGACCTAAAGTCAGCCTTGTCGCTTCCTCTGCCAAGAGCGTGGTGGCAATAACTGCCCTTTAGCATGCAGCCCACTCTGCGGTCACTGAACCTGGACTACAGAAAATAGGCCACTTGTCTTCTCAGTCGGTGTCCCTTGAGTCCCTGTTTGCAAGCTTATCAACACACCATAACAATTGACTGAGACTTAGCGGAAATGAACTTTACAGAAATGTCAAGGTATACACATCTCCTTAAAGGAATTAAATATTCAGGCATAGCAAAAACTGATGAGATTTGAATATCTTCTATGTAACAGCCTAAGACAAAGTAAATCTTTGAGAGCAAGGTTTACCCATCAACCCCAGTCCAGCATGGAACACAAAGGTCCTGCACGGGAAGCTAGTACACAGTGACTCTTGTGAATTTAACACATCAGCACTCTTATGTGTGACGTCAGTGATCACCTGAGGCTCTTGATACGTGATCCTAGGCTGTGGAAGGCTCTTTAGAATCTGCTACAACCCCATCAGTCATTAGACAAGGTCACACACAAAGCAGGAATTCTCTGCTCCCTTCCAAGAAGAGCCCAGCCCTCTTGGAGGGCCACTTCTTTTCCCTGGGGCCTGGATGGCAGAGGGACACTCGTGGCAGCAGTGTCCTATCTTTCCACCCCACCTCTGCCGGTCCAGAGCGCCATCTGGGTTGATTCTGAAGCCAGAAATACTAGTCAGGATTTCCATTCTGTGAGTCTGCTGCAGACTCTTCCCCGTGTTGGAGCATGCTTCTGTTTAACCTCTGACATCTGAATTACCACAGGACACTGAAATGCTCACTTACTTGTGTACACTCATTTTACCACCTAGCGCATGAGGCTTTGGGATCCAGTGGCCAGTTTCGAAACTGTACTGAGTGTGTCTGTGGGCAAGCACACGGAGCTATTAGAGCTGGGCAGTTTCTGTAGGATCTCAGAAGACAGAAGTAATGCCCCTTTTATGCACAGATAAGTCACCACACCTGGGTAGACACCACCAATGCCAAAACACATCTGGTACCATAAAACTACATGCAGAAGTGTTGGGGGCTCCTTCACAGCACTGCAGACAAGCATGGATGTGAAGACCATCACTGGATACAGACATCTAGGAGCTCACACCCTGCCCCAGGAAGCTGAGCTCCTGGGTAATGAACCAA